CCCTTTTTACCTGGGTACGTGGAGCCACCAGAAACCACAGCCGTCATGCAGACTCAGTGACACTTGGTGAGGCTGCATAAGGCCCTTGGACCTCACACTTCATGGAATTTTCCTCTGCCTCTGGTTTAATTCTAAGTCCCACCAAGAAAAGAAAAAAAAAAAAAAGAGGCAACAAAGCAACTGTAATCTCTCCGGTGTGGAGCAATCACGTGACACAGGGCGTGGCCACCTGCATCCCATCGCTCAGGTTCCAAGGTGCTTTTAGATGAGACGTGATTGCTGAACATTAAGGCAGAACAATGAAATCCTCCTGAAGAATTTTCCAGAGGATGAGCACAGAATGAATGGGGAATTTTCAACCACCAAGCACAACTACGCCTTCCCCTTGCAGGGACTGGGCCGTGTTGTTCAGCTCCGTTCATCACCCGGCAGAAACTCCCCCGGGTCTGTGCTGTGCAGGATGCTCTCAGGGGACGCGGTGCAGATGTGGGCAGGCCCAGAGCCTCGCTCGGAGCACAGGCTGGGGCAGGAGCGCAGGCTGTGGACTCCCTGCATGTGTTCCTTCCTGGCGGGCAGGAGGTTCGAGTGCCCTGTGGTGAGGGAGTCACGCTGGGCACCCCCTAAGAGGAGGGGGGCTCTGTGCTCTACCTGTGTGGCAGGGAGCCCTTGCTGAGCAGCCCTGCAGAAGGAGGCCTTGGGTTCCGGAGCGCCCAGGGGAGAGGAGAGGGCGGAGAAGGGAGCCGGGTGCCTTCCACAGGGGTCACTCTGCTGCAGCCTGGAGAGCCTGCCCTCCTCCCCCGCCAGCCCCAGCAATTGATCCCCAGCTCTCCACCCACTGGTGTCCCTTCCTAGACGTTTTCGTGCCCTCTGGGCCACCACCTGCCACCCCCACCATCAAAATTCAGTGCTTTGAACGGCTTGGGTTTGTGACTTTGCCGAGGACGAGGACGGGGCGCCGTCTTGTCTGCTTCACAGCTGCGTCCGCTCTCGTGCACTCAGCTTCGAGTACCAGATACCAATCACAAGGGCAGGCCCAGCGACTCCCATCCCTTCTACAGCCCTGCTCCTTCCCTGTCACCTGGCTTTGCAGGCCCCCGCCCCCCTCGGTGTCCCCTCACAACCCTCACCAAGTGCATTTTGATGCATTAACTGTGGCAGAAGTTTAAAGAAGCAGGTCTTTCTCTCACAATTAGACGATGCAGATTCGTAGCACAAAACGTGGCATCATCAATTCCTTCCTGTTGAAGGACTCAGTGACAGCAGCAGGTTTCCAATTTTGTCCTCAGAAATGCATCATTCCCTGGCCAGGAGCTGGGGAGGTGGCAGCTGTAGACGGAGCCGCATCCTCACCAAGGTCTGCAGCTGCTCCGGGTTCCTGTGCTTTTGTCTCTGCCCCTCCCGCCACTTTCACCCCTCGGCCGTGGGCACAAAGGGAGAATTGCGGCCTTGTGACCGCTCAAGTGCAGCGTCCTCCAGCACAACCAGGATGGGTTTCAGTGTTCTCGAAAGGGACAGTGGCTCTTTGGTGCTGAGCCATGACCGCAGAAGGGTCCCTGGCGAGAGTGGCGGCTGGCCTCCGTGCTCACCTGTCCTGCC